ATCCACAATGTAAAGTTTTAAATCTTTATTTGAAATAAGAATATTTTAGTTAATAACGGAGACTAGTTCTTCTCAGTAACAAATGATATAGAAAATATTACTTTCTATTAAGCTTGTTACATCCCAAAGCCTTTATTTTTTTGCTATGTGCTACGTTTACTTCTTAATATAAAACTCAGTTAACTAATTTAAAAAATTACAAAATTATTTTAAAATATTTATATTTATTATTTTTTTCAAACTAATTTTTCTCACTTACAAATTGATATATAATCACAAAATATTTTATCGAGATCGTGTAACATTAATTAATTTAGTAACTTTCTAATCTTCTCTAATTGGGGAATTGGGTTTTATATTAAAAAACGTTTTTTCCCCCCTAAATCAACTTCAATTGTGTAATCTATCATTTCAATTGTAATACTTTGTTTTAAAGTCATACAATATATACCAAATAACAATTCAATGTGGATAAAAATAAATTTATTTTTATACCAATTATTTTGTAATTTCAAATATCAATTATTTGCTTAATTTAATTATATGTTAATTTGACTAATAGCTAATCAAATAAAAATTGGTGTGTATGTTTGACTTATATGCTTTTTAAAAGGAAAAATAAAAATGCATCTTTTAACATTTAAAGTGTTTAATATCCAAGTTAATGGTCCAAAAAAATCTAAGTTAAACTCATCAAATTATAATTATAATAAATTCAAGAATTTTTTCTTGCCAAAAAATTCAAGTATTCTATTAATGTCGTATTTAATGAAACAATCATAAGTAAGGATTAAATTGTGAAAAGAGATAAAACGGAGGAACATAGTGGAAATAAGAATAAATGAAGGACTTAATATGACCGCACAAAGAAAAAAGACAGTTCCGTCACGATCATTAATGGCAGCCACGCGGAAATATGTGCGTTTACTAATATAGCCCCACTTTCACTCCACAGACCGTAGTTCACACCACACAGCTGGTTGTTGTGACCCTCCCTCGCTTCGAGACAACATATAATTTAAATTTTAAATTTTAATTCAACCCCCGCATATTTATTCCGAAGACATCAAAAAACTAATTAAAACTATATATGAAATTGACTTTTTTGGTCTAATTATAAGACCCAATCCATTCTAATTATGTATTTTTTTCCAAGATAATTCTAAATGATAGTTTTGCAATAACTTAATAGCAAGATATTTTAGGGGACTTATTTATTATAAAAACCAAGAACTTACTTTAATTTTCAAATAAGTAATTGGGTCTTATAATTGGAGTATGTAAATTATTTTTCATTTTAATCGGAATATTTATTATATAAAATCAAAATGATAAAATGCTGGAATTAATGAAAAGATAACTTTTTTTCATTTATGTGAATTACTACCGATGTTTAAATAAGATCTAGTTTAAATTAAATTGATTTAAATAAAATATTAATTATTTTTTTAAAATATAATATTTTAAAAAATATTTCTATTGATTGTAAAGGTTTCCACCAAAAAAATAGTTTTAATGCATATGATTAAATAAGTTAGTTAAGAGAAACAAACATGTATTTGTTACAATTAACTACTACCTCGAGTCCTAATTATAAAAACTAGTTGATTAATTTAAGGAGATTAAGAAGAAGTTAAGTTAGTTATTTATGATAAATATGCGTTGTCATTCCTAAAATATCCTTGCTAATCAAGCGTATTAGCTAGAATTACTATTATATAAGGATTATCTTGGAAAAAAATACATAAATATGAGAAACAAAGTGGATTGGGGTGTTATATTAGGACCAAATAAAAGTTAAACAATACCTTATATTAAAAACTGGAAGTAATAATTTACATTACAAAATAGATTTTATATTGAAGACCGAAAGAGTAAATTTTTTAAATTTTTCTTCATTTCTTCATATTAATAATCTAGTTTTTATATTTGTATTGAGTTATGATTAAAACATGGTATTAAAATTAGGAGCGATTTGATAGAAAATTATTCTTGAAAGAAATATTATAGTCAAGATTGCACGTTTGAATTTTAATTATACAATTACCGTTGAGACTTGAGATTGTTAGCATGATAGAAACTCGTAGAAGTATTATGCTTATATATCTAGGGGGAACATTAAGGGATAAAGTTATACTATACTTAAGTTACAGAAAATTATCCATATGTTTAGGTAAGAAAATTAAGTATAAAAAATTCTATAAAATTTAATCATTTTACAAGTTGCACTTATAAATAAATATGTTTAGCTTGTAAATATGAAGTTTTTGCCCTCTCTATATTTAATTTTTCTTGCAAACTTCTTGGATGACTTTTCCGATATGCATGAATTTTTAAGCATTATTTTATGTGCCATTAATTTAATTGTAACTTTAAATATAAGTCATAATTACAAATTTCTAAGTATAATTAACTTATTTTAAAAAAATTAAAAAAAATCTTCTTCAACATGAGTGGGGTTTCCTCAACAAATTACATTATTATTGTGCATTAAAAAAGGAGAGAAATGCATCATGAAGGGGGTCATTTGGAATGAGACGCAAATCGGGACATGAAATTGAAATTAACATTAAAATATAAAATCACGACTTTACAGATATTTTTTCAAAATATTACTCCTAGTCTTTAATACAAAACTACTAATTAATTAATTTGAATATATTAAGAAAGTTTGTTAAATTAGTTATTTATAATAATTAGATGTTATTTTTCTAAAATATTCTATTTATCATATGTACTAGTTAGAACTACTATTTGATGAAATATTTAACGTGTGTAACTATGTAAGATTATTTTAAAAAACATGGATAAACATTAAAAAAAAAAAATTAAGATCTTATATTTAAAACTAAATTAAACATCAAAATAGTTTTTATATAAGAATAATGAGTAAGGTTTCAGTCTTTTGAAAATGACAAAAGACTCCGCAAAATACGATGACCCCGAAGTGTCCTTCTCATTGTCGACTATAGATTAGAACAGAACAAATGGGATTATTATCAACACAAATAGTAGTAGTATTACTTACTACTCCATCCCTTATTATAACCTCTTTTAACTAATTATATGATTTAAGAAAACAGTTTTAAAATTAGTTAAAAGCAATTAATATGCAGCCAAATGCAGTTTTTTTTCAACTTATAACCCTAATATAAAAGATAAATGTGAGAGAGTAATGTAGATAAATACAAGAAAGAAAATGTATTGAATACATTAAATTAGGAATATAAAATAGGAATACTGTATTAAATGCTCAAAAAAACTCAAAGAAGATCTTATAATAAGGAACGGAGGGAGTATTTGTTTTTTGGGTGGTCACGTACTAATTAATTATTAATTACTGCTTCTTAAGACATGCTTAGTTCATAATTAGAGGATTTATTATCTTAATTAACTTTCATGATTCAGTTCAAGAGGCTTTATTTTAGTGCTTAAGAAATACACTGAGGAAGTTGATTAGGGTACTTCCTTTTCTTGGCCTTTCGTTAGGGGACTTCCTTGATCATTACCATCACATGCTTTTGTTTAAGAAATTCAAATATTCCGTGTGCTTCAATTTTTGCTTTTAATTATGATTATTTCTAATCATTACTTTTATGGCTGCCCAGTGACAATGCTTCATCAGTTTTGTACAATTAGGTAGTTTTTTTTTTTTTTTTTTGTTGCAACTCCAATTATGAAATTCTATAGTTCATATTTGGTTTTTATTATATACTATTTGATTAGGTTGTATTTAAGTATTATAATTATTTTATTTTCTGCATTCGCATAAACTCAAACTTAAGATCCCGTGCTTAAGCAACTAATGACCAACATATAGGCCATATTTTATTTTTCTTTGTGGTAAAGCAATATTATATTTCCATGCAATTATTAAACTACAATTAATATTGCATTAATTGATTTTATTTAATACACCTATTATGCTAATATATCGCCCATTATATCAATCAACAATAAAAAAGCAAATCCAAATAATTAATTAGTTATAATGATGAGATCTACGAATTAAATTATTATCACATTCAAACAAAAATAAAATGATCATTCACATTTCATAGTATCATTATTAAGTACCCTTTTTTGGGACAGAAAAGCTTTTTCCCCCAATTTTCGATGGATATATGATGTTAAAAATAATTTTAATTCGTTACTTTCACAAAGTATACATATAATACACTTAAAAAAAGATAAATAACGTCTGTGAATATGATATGTAAAGCTGCATAAATATGATAACAAACTAAAAGCAAATTGTCTTGAACAATTGAAAAGTTTCTAAAAAATCCTTTACCAAAAGACCTTTAAAAGAAGACTTGACTATAAATGATTAAATCTTATCTACCAAACTAAAGAAAAAGAAAGATTTGACTTCTTGTCCCTCCACTTTTTTTTCTTTTTGGGTAGCCAATTGTAATTACTAACAACTACCATTTTTAAGCTCAATCGATTGGGAATAAACAAACAAATACACATCCCAGCTTTTACGCAAAAGGAGGGGGCAAAAACAGCTAGTGCTAACCTGTTTTATGTCCCTGTATTAAATTCAATTCAATTCAATTCTACTACTTGCAATCCTAAATATAAAAGTTAGACAAGAAATTTATTTCAATCCTAAATATAAAATCTTAATATACTTTATCTTTCAAATTTATAATTTTCCCCTCAAAATATCCTATTGATTGCACATAGAGGTTTCTATCAAAAGGTAGTTACAATGCACATAATTATAAATGTTATTCTGAAAAATCAACACACATCTTTTACAACTAATATCCAGAAATTAGTTATTTAGCTGAGGATGAGGTATTTTATTTTTACTTTATGATCCAGGAAAAAATTGCAGTTGATTTATTAAGGGAAGGATTGACATGGAGTCATGAGTGCTTTATGTAAAGGAGAAGGAAAGAAAAGGAAGGGTGGGGGTGACTGGTGATGCACCCTCAAAGAAAGTAGAACTTTTGAACAAAAGATTTCCTAAGGAGGGGCCTACACAGGAATTTGGACGCCAAATGCCTTTAAAATAAACACTGAATCAGAGTGCATGAACAGCCACTTGTCTATTTCCTCTAACAGACCCCATATACAACGGAAGAGTTGTGTCAAACTATTCATAAAATAAACAGTAAACATATAAAATATAGTCCTCCTGAAAGAGGGTGCTTAAGCTACTACGTGTCTATTTATGACTAGTTTCACATACCTATTTTCTATACATGGAATCTAGTTGAGAGCAATCTTCGCTTCTAAATGGGATACGTTTTTTCCTCTCCTAAAGAATCAGAGTGCCTCTGGGAATCGTAAATCAGCAGGGCCAGGACCCAAAATCCCTTTTTGCTCGCTTATCTTGCCCAACCCAAGAGGAGGCTCCACTACTATAACTGGGAGTGGGACTTGGACTGGGACTTGGACTTGGACTGGGACTGGGACTGGGAGTGGGACTGGGACCGGGGCTTGAACAGGGACTGGGGCTTGTACAGGGACTGGCACTGGCACTGGCACTGGAACATTAATTTCCTCATCTCGCCAACTGGTTCCCTGCCACAAACATTACATGCAGTCGGGAGATGAATATATAATATTAGCACGATGCTCATTTTCCACTAGATGAACATTGAATCCAAACACAAATATATAACGCATGAAAAAGCATATTCAAACTTTTTCTTTATATAGAATATGCATTTCTACAAAGTAATTACAATAGAACTGAAAAACATTTGCTGACTGAAAGGATGAAATACGCTTATCATTTGCTCTTTGATGGCTTAAACAATGTCTAAAGAATCATCAGGATAAGAACATAGGATGTAGCAAAAGATCACTATTAATACTGGAAATGCTTACCTCATCGTGACTGTAAGTTGGCTCCTGCATTAATGGAGTTGATATCGGGGGTGTGACATCTGGGTCAGGCTTTTGAAATATAAATGTGGCATAGAGACCTGTATCAGAGAATATATTGATAACTAAAATCCCCCTTTAATGAGATCAAAGCCTGAATCTTAAAGGAAATAGCATGTTACAAAGAAATAATAAATAAATTACCTAGTGCATCATATGATCGAGGAAAAAGTCTCCCTCTAGGATCCAACAGGTTTGGAACAGATTTCATTAGCAAGCCTGCAAATTGTGCTCTTCCAGCATCCACAAAAATTGGGGTGAATAAACAGCCTGACAAACTCCAAATATGATAATAATGAAGATTCAATTGAAGGATGCAAAAGGCTCAGCCTCTGATCATGCAATTCTAAAATGTTTAATTTTCTAGCAAAATGAGGTAGTACCTATTGTCATCATAAAACTCAGTCAAGTTTTGAATCTCCACATACTCAAGGCCAGCTTCTCTTGCCAACCTGAGTTGCACAAACATAAGTAATAAGTTGTTAAAAGTAAATCAGAAGTATGAAAAAAGCATGGGCCAATAAATAAGCATGCAGGCAACATGGCAGTGATATTCAGACATCCCACCCATCATTGCTTGTTATCAGGCTCAAATATTCATAATACATTTATCCTTACAAAGATTTCAATCTCCCATCCAGCTATTACAAAGTCAACTTTAACATGATTGTTGTTCTTTATATCTGTAGCCTAAATGAACAGCTTAAAAAAAAAGGGCAACTAAGCCTTCACATTTGAAATCAGTAAATGTTCAGTAACAACAGAAACCAGCATCAACATAATACTAACTAACATAACAACTTGTTCATTGTCAATTATATATGGAATAAGGTAACAACCTGATGAAGCTCGGAAAGTGAACTAAGCAATGGGTTTCTGCAGAGGCATCATTAGAGAATTTCAGCTGATATTTCTTTCCAAATAGTGGAAACCTAGTAACAAAACACATTCAAATGGAATGACTTCTTACTAAATTAAATCAAAGAAGAACAGGCAGCAAGCAGTTGATTAGTGGAAAAGAGATGTACTTTTCTTCTTCAACTTCGAAAGTAATCATGTAATTCTCTGTCCGAATACAGTTGGGAACGATGTTTGGCTTCATGCTGCTGCTTTTGTTGTGATAAGCTTCAACATTCTTCTGGTACTTAGCCCTAGATAGCCATTTATAGGGAGAAAGAACTGCTGATTTAACATTATCCGGTTTATTTGTTCTAATGATCCCACACAAAATTCATGTTAATTTCAGATTAATCATCTAAAAAACAGTAATGATGACCAAACCAATGCTGAATTACAATTGATGACAGTGAAACTCATATGCAGATAGAAACAACTAAAACCAAACAGGGCAATAAGAAATAAAAAGAAAATACAATTTGCACTTCATGAAATGCAAAGATTACTGCTGGTCAGGAAGGGAGCGAACCTTCAGCTTGGTAATTAGGCAGAAAAGGTTCTAAATGAAGAAAATGGTTAACCAGGAAAGAGGACTAGCATATATATAAGTCTTAAAACCCAAATTAAGCATTAAAAAATAAAAATAAAAATTATAGCACATAATAAGAAACCAGACAAAGGCACGTAAAAGGACATATATAAGGATTAAAAAATCAGCGAAATAGTAATCATAATAACAGATATCAAGCACATGGTTGAACAAGCATATTAAATGACAGACAAGCACAGAAACCTCCCTAGTAAATGAATGATATGCTTTAATAAAACCAAAAGAATGGTACATGCAACTAAATCCAAGAAGGGGCCTTTGGCAATCACGTCTCATACCATATGGTAGATGAGTCAGGAGTAATACCAAAAAAGTAACCCCCGGGTTTCAGCAAAGATGATACATTATGCAGAAGTCTCCGTGCTTTCTCTTCACTCTCAAAACACAACTGCATGCAGATAAGTTATTCAGGACAAAAAAGGCAAAAAAAAAACATAAACAAAAACAGAAGAAAAGAAATCCTAAAAGACCAAAAAAATAAAATTAAACAAAATAAAAGTTCCAGATAGAAATGTAGTGATTACGAACACATTTCTTAGGACCTGCCTCCTCAACCATTTTCTAAATTTTACTTCAAGAGAATGATTACAAAGACATGGATAATGTTTCTGAAAGAATACCGCTTATTTTGGGATAATGGTTGATTTGGGGGAGTTCGAGAAATATTAGGAATAAATATTTATTTAAATTATTTTAGATATTTTCGATTTCATTTAGGTTATTTTCTAATTTGTTGAGTAATCCTCAAGTTTAGGAGCAGTGAGTTATGATATTTGAAGATTAGGTTAATAATTTAATTTATTTATCTATTATCTAGGGAGTTGTTTCTCATTATCTGAGTTGTGGGTTATGGGAGTATTTTTAGGAGTGACTAGTTATCTTTCTGTCTATAAATGTTAAGTTTCACCTCATGTAAAAATGATCTGGAAATATATCAGTTCTTTTGGACTTCTAGGGATTCTCCTAAAGCAGTTGGCTAGTAAAGAAGGATTGAGCGAGATACTTGCTCTCTTTTTCTTGTTAGGGTTTGGCTGTATTGGTGATATGAGTTTAAGATCCTTGCTCATATTCTAATAGAGATTTTTTTTTTCCTTCCCTCCTTTATTAATTTATGTCGTTAGATTCTGACTTCATATTTTAATAAAGATCTTTTCCATCCTTATTTCTCACAACCAATTTGGGATCCTATCAGTTTCTTCTAAGGGCAGCAAAAAGAGGCTCTTATATTACAATACTAAGGGGGGAAAGTAAAATATTGCAACAAAACATGATTAGAAAGTAAATGGAAACCTGCAAATGCTGCAAACAGCAGACAAGATCAGCCTTATTAATCTTCTCCTGCAGATGCATTTCTATGTTCTCCTGTCAAAAAATCATGAATGAAAGGAGAAGTTAATAATAAATTATAATATTAAATATAGTTACTCTTCCCCACAATTTTTTGGGCACAATTAACATGATCCAATCTTGCAGTGACATATAGGTGTTCATGTTATGATATACCATACGCTTCATCAACTCTGATAACGTATTCAGAACAACTAATATAAAATAACCAACTTACATTTCTTCCCTTTTTATTTTTTCCTTTTTAATGGGAGGTGAATGAAGGTAAAATTGAATTCACGTCAAAGGTGTAATAGACACTCCCTTGCCTTCTCATCTATAAATGTTACTGAAGAAATTGGAAACGGAGACAGTGACAAATATCTCTGGCTAGTTTAAATGTTGATCCAGTACAAGAAAATTAGGGGAAGAACTGGAGAAATACAATAACACTTAGACATTGCAAGCTTTGCCACCAAACATGAGATTAATTCTATCCCAATTCTCCCAGCCCATTCGATCCTATAGAGGTCTATATTCATCCTTAGTCATTCTCTCTCATGATTCCACGAGTCTTTCCTTTATTTTCTACTTGATGACGTTCACTTTTCTTTGTTAAGGAGCCAGGTTCTTCACAAGCTATTTACCGTCGATTTCATTGCCTACCCTTGCTTTCTCGTGACCTGACAGGCATCAAATCTACCAAAATATATTGCATGTCAGAAATAAAAGGAAACAAAACAGTACACGCATAGCTGCTGCCTTAAGATTATGGACAATCAAAATTTCCAACTATTACCACCAATGACCTAAGAATGTTCCTCAACTAACATTTGGAAATCATGACTCCAGCCACACAACTGAAATATTAATTGTTTCTCCAAGCGATATCACAACTACATTCCCCGTCCTCACTTCCCAACCCAGCATGGGGATAAAATATTACAAGTCAACTGACACTTATCAGAGTCGCCTTTCCCCAAAAATCAATAAATAACATAGTCATCAATTGTTCAGCATTAGATAAACAAGAAAACTGTCTCAGAAAATATTAGTTTCCCCCTAACATTTCGATGACACAGCAATAGTGAGTAATCTTCTTTGCATATTTTACTTTTGCATAACAATAGTGGGCCAGCAAATGTCAGCATCTTCTGCATGAGGCGACACTTCCAAGCACCTCAGGCATGCAATACTGAAACAAGAGGTATCTCTTGCTCGTGAACAGTGACTGCTCAAAAAATGAAATGACGGCTACAACAATCTCTTGCACCAAAGATAAATGACATATTCTAAGAACATAATTATAAAGAATAACAATTACTCCTTCTCAAAGAAAACAATTAGAAGCGAAAAGTGATCGAAGGATAAAAAAGGCTAAATCGAGAACAAAATCCAAGCCAACTTTATGGGAAATGCACGGCTAAAATTTCGAAGGAAATTGAGAAAAACTCACCGTGCAGGGATCAATCTCGAAGAACTCTGTAGTGTAAGCCTTCCTCTGGCTCTCCCACGCTTCTCGCATCTGGCTTATACCAGACGAAGCCGCATCTATAGCAACAATCCACGGTCAATATACTGAAACTTATAGTAGAAACAACCACAACCAACAGAAGATAAAAGTCAGAATTTGATACCAATTCCAATAAAGTGACCGATTTGAGCTTCGTCCCACTTATCAGCATCTGCTCCGCCTCCACAATACAAGTCACACACCTTCAGGGAGCAAAGGTCAAGACAAGATACATGAATGGAAGAATTCTTCAAAGCGAGGGAGGCGAAATCAACGCGGGAAAAAAAATAAAAGAGAGAAGGGAATTTATTGGCGCCGGGAGGCCAATACCGTGGCGTAAGGGTGAGCGAAAATCTTGATGAGAGCCAACTTGGCAAAGTCGTAGAGGCGATGAGGAGTAGATTCAGTTCTCGGGCATGCAATTTGACTCATGGTTTGCTTCAGAATTCGGCGTGAAGAGCATCCAGAGCGCCGATTTCAGAAATTCTAACGACGCAGAGCACTATAACCAGAAGGAGGACCACCGTTGGAATCTGGAAGCTGCAACCCAACGCAATTCTAGTTCCATTTTTATTACAGGCCGTACTAACATAACAAATAATAAAATATTTAATTTAAAAAATATAGATACTAAATTAAAAATTAAAAATTGACAACAAATATATAAGTTAATGGAGTTTTCTTACTTTGATTTGAACTCTTCAATATGAAAACAGAATATAAAAGAGATTTACAATATGAACCCACCATGAAAATTTTTTCATCATTTAAGTTAAATAAATCATATATTTCTTTTCTTTCTTTTTTTTGCCAAAGACTACATCATATGTTTCTAGCTCATATAATTAGAGGAATTCGAAAGAAATTAGATGTATTTGTTCATTGAATATGAGAAAAATACATTAATTTATTTATTCATTAGATAAAATACATAGGAGATGGTAAAAGAAAATTATGAGTAAAATAATAAATTCATGCATCTTCAATTTTAGAGAACGAATTATGCACCATGGATCATAATTTAGTGACATAAAGGTCACGGATTTAATCTTAGTCGTAATCTAACTGTTAGTATTTGTTCTTTTGATATGTTCATTTTAATTTAACTTATGCTCTGACTAAAACTATGGTGTACAATCACAAAGTTATCCAACTCAATAAAGAAACATGATCATGGAAAATCATTGGTTTGAATCATAAACTATAAATTGGTGGCAAAAGAATGGACATTTAGTCCATTGGTGTGTGTGTGTGTGTGTATATAAAAGCGAATGTTGCACATTTATCGGAAATTATTATATGCAATTAATAATAATGCAGCTATATTGGCTTGTTCATATCCTTCACCTTTGAATGAGAGCAAAAAAACTGGGGAAGCATGACAATCACTGGATGGTACTAAAGATGTTTCAATCCTGCTGCCTTTGCTTCTTACTGTCTTCTCCATCCCATCCATAGGTATATAAGTTATTTCTGTGATACTGTACTCATTAAATAGGTCATGTTTACTGCTCTTGTAATGGTTTTGAGTATACTTATAAATTGTAATTATTTTTACTACTTAAAATCTGTTAAAATCGTCTATTTGTCATTTTGAAACTTAATCTTCTCTTGAGTTTTAACAAAATTACGATTTGAGTCCTATCTTACAATAGCTCTAAGTCTAAAGCTCTATCTATCTTTATAACAATTAATGTGTAAATAATCAAATAATTTGTGGATTTGATTTCAGGGGAAGAGAATAAGGAAGAGTGTAAAGTGAACTGAGATTGTGGTACATATGAGTGGTGCCACTCTATGTGTCCTCCTAGCACCAATACTTGTTACTTTGATCCCCAAATTGGTACCAATCATTATCATTGTTGTCCTCAGCCTCCTTCATTACACTGAAAGGATGTTTAGGTAGAAACAAAACTATAATTTTAAAAGTATTTTTACGGTATATAAAGTAAATATGTGAAAGAGTTTGTCACGATTTGTAAAAAAAATGCTTTTAAAAAACACTTTTTGAATTATCCAAACACTCCACAGGGTTATGTGTTTAAACTTCATAACTTGGAAGAAGACTTTGTCATCCTATATATCCTATTCACTCCGATAAAACAAACTATATTGTATGGTTTGTGATTATTTATACTCTTCTTTTTAAACTGATCAACAATTTAAATTATATAAAATATTATAGGTCATGATCCCAATTTGTAACTTTATAGAATGCCATCAATATTTTCAAGAATTGGATCTCTCAAAATCCAATCAAATTAAACGATAATTTATAATTTAAAATTTGTTTGAGCATTGAGGTGCAACTTATTGTCTAACTTTTATTCAATCATGTACAATATATCTTTAATATTACATGAAAAGAAAAATATTTGTATGTAGCTGGAGATATATTACAACCGAGTTTACGGAATAAATTTTGCAATAGGAGAGTTTTTGGTAATTTTCTCTTCAATAATCACTTGCAACATTAGCCTCTCTCATGGTTCCCCCTTGAACTATTTGTGTCTTCAATTTCAAAACTCATGAAGCAATAGTTAAGACTCAAGATATCTATAATTATTAATATAAAATATAAACATTTATCACAAATCATTAATTTAATTTAAAAGGAAAAATTTAAATTTTTTTAAAGTTGTTCAAATTCCATTTAAAACGTTAATTGGGGAAAAGAGCCTATCATTCTTCAAATATAAAAGAAGGTAATAATTATATCAAGTTTCTTAACTGAATCAATGAATCAAATTAAAGGGACATGCTTTCATTTTTTCAATCAATAATACATGCACCTTAGCACATGAATCTTAACCCAAAAAAAAAAATGCATGAATCGATTTTGAAATTGTTCATTAAAGTAAACTAATAAATCCTTATTTTTATTCTATTTTAATATTAAATATATAAATTAACCTTGTTAGATTATAGCCCAAAAAAACTTTTCATTAGATCAATATTCGGAAATTATAATTATAATTATATATGAATTATACAAATCAATTTTGTTGCATTGATTTTTTTCTATCTGCTTCATTCCATCCATTTAATTAGCTCAATAAATGGATGAATAGTATGTAAGAATGAATAAGAATAAAATATTCGTTGAATAAATCTAGGTAAATAAAAGCATTCATATTAAATTTATTCTATCCCACTTTAATTTGACAAGACACCGTTATCAAAATCAACAAAGAAATTAAAGATGCAAATAGGGAGTCACTCGTTTGAATTATATGCTATAAATCGGTTGCAAAAGAATGGTAACAAAAATTTTGGCCAAAAAAAAAAGAATGGTAATAAAATCAATTAGTACTTAAACAGTAAGATATTATGCATTTTATTGGAAATCAATATACGTGATTAATTAAAAATGCAATTAATTAGTGTATGGCTTTGTTTATAAATTGGTCTGCCCTTTGCTTTGAATGGGCAAAATACATCACAAGATGGCTCTAAAGAAGTCTCAATTCTGCTCCATACTGCTGTTGCTTTTCACTGTCTTCGCCTTCCCACCCACAGGTATATCATAATTTACAGAGCAAATGACTCTTTTAAAAGGAATTGGTAAAATCATCTAAATTTTCTTTTAAATTTACATAATCTTCTTTTAAGAAATGTAAGCCATATAAATCTCCTCTGACAATATTTATTTCAATGAAAAAATGGCATATGAGAAGAATAATTATTTTTGTGCATTTGATTTCAGGACAAGAAGCTAGGAATGAGTGCGCGATGTGAACGAAGATTGTGATGCAAATACGTGCCATTATATATGTCCTCCTGCAACCAACACATGTTACTATGATCCCAAAACCCAAACCAATCATTGTCGTTGTTGTCCTCAATCTTAATCTTGACCAATGTCCTGCTCATATCTCCCGCCCCCCCCCCCCCCCAAAAAAAAACTATGTTTAAGCTTCGTCTCTTGGAAGACTTTGTGAAACTAGTACATCCTATTTGCCTCCAATAAAAGTTATTATGATTTATGATTATTCATACCTGTTTTCTTTTCATTAATAAACAATTTAAATTAAATAAAAACATTATAGACCGGTCATGTAAGTTTGGAACTTTGTCCTGTTCACTACAAATGTAGAAATGAGAATGAGATATAAGGAAAAGAAAAGAAAATAAATTTGGATTCAAGAAAAGGTGTTTAAAAAAAAAAAGCATGTTTCCTTTTTAACCTGCTTTAGACCTGGTCACAGGAATAAGACGCCTCCTTTGTTTTCATAGGCAAGCTCCTAGAGATGAAATTTTAAATTGAAAAAATCAATATCAAAAAAATAAAATACATGCTTGGAAGGAAGCATATTGATTTTTCCTTATTGACTCTTTTAATGAACAAGCAATCCTATTTAGTGGGATAAGGTTTATTGTTATTGACTCCATCAATAAACTGATTACAATTCAGGCAAAAAGAAAAAAATAATAATAATAACTTCTTATCGCAATTGCCTAAACTTGAGCTCAGTGACACATGTAGATAAGGCATCCCTCAGTTGGATGTTGTCGGAGTCCATGTAAAGGGCATCTTCGTATAACCTTTTAGCTTGTTGTAGCAATTTCACCTTCTCCTTGCTACTGGATGGCCTCAAGCGAGACCTTTGCTGCAATGCCACACCCCATCTGTACAAAGCTGCAAATTTTAACAAGTTCAAATCAAACTCCTACACAAAAATTATCTAGTAATGCTCTAACTAAACAAAGGAAATGGCTACAAGAATAAGAGCAGTTTGTGTTTGGCATTCAAGTGGAAGATAAACTTGTAATGAAGTTACTGTCTAGTGTCCCTTGGACTAAGATGTGTGTATCTATTTGAGATACCTGAATTAGTCTCCACAATGCAGTTGTTCCCACGAAAAGATGATCTATGTGCTATGTACATTACATCGTCCATTGAGGGCGATATACTTATGTCCCATTTGGTTGTTGCAAATGATTACTGTGGGAGAAGTTTCCTAGGAATCCTAAGCAATTAAAGCAAATGGGACTTTAACCCAATGTTTGGTATGAGAGAAATGGAGGGGAGGGAAGGGAAGAAAAATTTTTAATGAGCTCCATTTAAAATATTAGAGAAGTGGAGTTTTAAAATTTTATAAAAAGAAAATGTAAGATAAAAAAAATTAATAAAAATTAGTTAAAGGCTTTTAACTCCTATTTTTTCAATTTTTCAAATCGAGCTTATTAAGATTTTCCCTCTCCTTCCTCTTCCTCTGTTTTCCTCGTACAAAATGGACCATAAGGGGCCTCATGACAGCAAGAATGGAAATTGAATGGCCCATGGAAAGAACAATACAGATAAGCATTTTACAGTTGAAGAATGATACAATGAAATCCCTTTCTCCTTGTAGATATCAAACAGGGAAACTGTCAGAAAATTACTTTCCAGTTGTAGTTGTATGTCATGAATTCAAATGTAAAGAGGTGTTTGGTTTCCTGTGATCTTGACTCTGTCGTCTCACATAACATGAAACCTAGAATGTTAGGATTGGGAGACAGTGCTCGGTAAGTGACAATAGGGTGGCATCATA